CTTCCTTCCTTCCTTCCTTCCTTCCTTCCTTCCTTCCTTCCTTCCTTTCCTTTTTCTTTTCAAAGTTCTTCCTTATTACCATCAGGATCAACTATCAAATCCTCTGTTCCATTTTTAAAAAGTTCTTCTTAACTTGGCCTCTTCTTCCTTTCCCTTTTTTCTCATACTTCAATCCCCTCCATGCATTCTATCATCTAGTGACACTGGTCTCCTTACTCTTCCTCCCACAATATGCTAATGTCATTTCCACCTCTTGCTCCATGCTCTGCATTTTCCATAGATGGACCCAACTTTTCACAATTGACTTCCTTCACTTTTCTCTGCCTCCTCTTCCCTATTGTCCTCTTGGATATGTATGACACATTGTCAGAAGCTCTAGCTGGATGTCTTTGAATAAATCCCTAATAACTGTACTTTAGTTTTCCCCAACTCTAGTGTGAAGATAGTATTTTCTCCACTAGAGGAGAGGAAACCTAGGGAAGAGCGAATTAATACAAATCTTCATTAAGCCTTGTCACGTATTTTGTGTGTCAGGTTTTTAATTTGCTATATGGGTATGATATTACCTGTTAACATATCACCTCCCAGGGTTGTGGTGAGGACCACAAACTAATGTGTGTGTAATGTGTGTGTCCTGAAATGCACGCAATCCTCCTTGGCATTCCCACTTGGACTCTGCTGGGCATTAGCTGTGTGATCTTAGGCAATTCATTCAAACTTTCTATCCTGGTTATCCTTTATGGCTGCCTTGAGGCTTACATGAGATAACAGAGGCAGAAGAACATGCTTTTTTAAACTGTCAAGGGCTTTATTGAAGGAATGACTCTTCATTATTCTTTATTGTTTGGTTTATGTTTTATTGGTGGGTGCTATTTATGGATAGCATTATAATTTTCCTTGTATGGCCTGTAGAATGAGACAGGTTGTTAAGGAGATGAAATATGATTAAATGATTTTCCTATGACAGCACAGCTAGGAAGTGTTCAAGACAGGGTTCAAACGTTGCTGTTGGATTTCAATACCAGTATGCTGTCTATTCCACCAGGCTGGGCTGAAATGGTCACTACAACATATAAGAGTAAATCTCTTTGTATCTCTAAGAATTTAAGAGGCTTTTCATGGCTTCAGAAACAATGGAGAAGTCCAAAGGATGTGTCTGTACTTTTCTTTTAGAGTTTAATCTTATTTTTGTTAACACATTTTAACATCATGCATTTCTGAATGTCTCTTACCCAGTGAGTCACTCTTGCAACAAAGATTTTAAAATGAAGGAGAAAAAAGTTCAGCAGAGCTCACCAACATGTCCACCACATCTGGTGGTTTATACAATGGTCAACACTCTAAATCCCCAATCTCCACAAATGGACAGTGTTGGTGCATTTTTGCAACTCTTTTATGGGGCCAAGGTTGGTTACTCTGTGTGGATGTAGTTTCTTGAGCAAGTGTAGAATTGGAGAAATGCAGGGGTGTTTAGGAACCATCGAGGTCAATGAGCCCAATCTTCAACCCAGGACAGCAATCTTCTCTACAATATTCATTGGAATTCCACAAGCTTTTATCAAGTGACTACTGTATGCTAAGCACTGTGCTAGGTGGTGAGGTCCCAGAGACAAAAATGAAACAATCCCTACCCAGAAGGATTTTGTAGTTCAATGGAATATAGCCCAATGGAAGGAAACTACATGGAGCTAGAGAGGTAAATTTGAAAATCTATTTACAAAATCAATTCACGGTAATTACAGGGGGTGGAGATAAACTCTATCTATGGGGGGGAATCAGGAATAGATTCTTGTATGAGGTAGCATTTGGGCAGAGCCTTGAAGACAGTAAAGATTATACAAAGTGGAGGGAAGGAGAAAGATCCTTCTAGATATGAGGGACAGCCTTCTCAAAGGCCTAGAAGAGAAATATGGAATGGTAGAGGAAACACTGGTGCTTCTGGAGGAGGTCGGTGATGTGGTTAGACATAAACTTGAGAAATAGCAATTTCACAGCTCTGTGCAGGATGAATTGGGGAGATAAAAGTTTGGAGAAGGCAAGAGGCCAACCAGAAAGCTATTCCAATATCGCAGGGGAGAGGTGAGGAACGATTAGATTGGTCTGGTGACCATTTAAGTGGAGAAAAGGAAACAGTACAGGAGAATCTGTGAAGGGAAAGTTAATAAGCTTTGACGAATGACTGGAAATGGTGAGTGAAGGGTTGAGGATAACGCTGAAGTTTCAAACCAGTGTTCCTGGAAAGGATTGTTGAACCCCCAAAGGAAAAGTGACAGTGAAAAGGAAGCTGAGTTTAGAAGGATGGATGATAAGCTCTGCTTGGAGTATGTTGGTTTCCAAATGCTAACAGGACCTCCAGTGAAGTGTTTCTCCAGGCAGTTGGTGATGTGAAAGTGAAGCTCAGGAAAGAGATCAGAGGATGTTAAGAATTAAGGAGGAGAGTGAAAGTATTTCAAGGATAAGCATAATGGAGTGATTTATCCACGGACACTGTTGGCTTCTAAGATTCAGAGCCAGGATTTGAACCAATCAACCCTGTAGCCACTATCCCACACTACCTCTTCTGGAGGGGAAAAGGGCAGGAAACCCACAAAATCTCTCCTGACTAGTCATGTGAGTGGGATCCCCATTTCTGAATGAAACTCAGTGGAGAAAGGAGAAGTCCTCTTCTGCTTCCTACTGCTAAGGAAGAATCCTAGACCTCAGTCTGGTTTCCTCCCCCCTGTTGATTCTTGGCTAAGGAGAATGCAGTGACATCTTCTTTCCTTCTCTTTTTCTTTCCTCTCCCAGGGCTCAGACAACACCATTGTTCCTTCCGGTAGAGGTCTGACTAAGATGTTTCTGTGGGTTTGCTGTAACATTTAACCTTTGTTCCCATTCTCTCTGAGGACCTTCTTTCTGTGCCTTTGGTCCTTCATGCGTCCCTTCCCACCCTTGTATCTCTCCATGTCCCATATGTCTCATTTGGGCATCAGGACACTGAGGATGTGAGAGGGAGAATGACTTATGGCCCTCAGCTCAAGGAGGGAGCCACAGAGAAAAGCCACAGTTCAAGCCTATACCAGGGCTAGGCAGAGTTTTGTAAGCCAAACCACTGACCATAAGGGAGTGATCCCTAAACTTACACTGTGTCTCTCCTAATTTCCTTCATACCAAAAACATCGTCATGACCCTTATAGACTATAAAATGTTTCCTTTTTTATTATGAACATTAAAATATCAATGAATGCTCATATTGGAATAGACAAAGAAGTGCGGAAAAGAGGGAGGTGTATGAATCTGTGAACTTCGACCGAATACAATTTGGCTATTTTAAAGTATATATTAAGTTTATCACAATGGTAGGCAAACTCCCCTGCTTGTTGCTATCTCCTTCTGTTCTTATTTCTTCTCTGCTGTATGTGGTTTTTAAATTTTTCATTCCTGTGCTTTTATTTCTTTTTTGGATTAGCACCAGTATCCACTAACTCCCGTTATTTCCCAAAAGAAGCCCTTTCATGTAGCAGATTAAGTACAGTTAACCAAGCAATCCAAAACATTGGCCGTGGCTGAAAATGCCTGTCTCATTTGGCACCTCTAGGCCTTCACCTTCCTGCCCAAAGCGGGGGCAATACCCTTCATCTTCAGTCTTCTCACGGAATGATTTGTCATGACAGTCATCAGCATTCTCAAGTTGTTCAAAGTTGCTTTCATCTACAATATTACAGTCATTGCATCAATTCTTCTCCTACTCCCATTTACTTCATTCTGAATCAGAAGCTTGTAAACATACCAAAGAGAATTTGGCAAATTCAAGGACTGGAAGGTGATCAGACAGAAATCAGGCTTAGACCAGCACCTTATACTATTCGCTGCAATGTCCTCCAAAGAGACACCAGACCTGGATATGAAAGGTTATATAAGAAACAAACTGGAGGAAAATAGAAGGAGATACCTTTCCTATTATAACCATTTCCAAATTCATCCAACGGCAACATTGTCTGTTATGTACACATCTCCATCACCCCTCCATACCTTATTTTGCTGATTTAGAGTGAACTTTATTTTCATTTTTAAAAAGTCATATTCATAATGATATTGTATTAAACAATGTCTAATAATTGTAGTCATTATTTCATCCCTACACTCCCACTACAGTCTCACATTGCTTCCTCCCCCTTAAGAGTGTCCCCCAAAGTTTATATAACACTGCCTGAAGTCAGAAAGCCCAAGACTGAATCCTGAATCTGTTACTCACTAGATGTTTAAACTTGGACAAGACACCACATAATCATAACCGATGATTTTGTAGCAAGTGTCGTTATGTACAATTCCTCTTATTAGAGCGTTGACTGTGAGGTTAAAGATCACGTGATAGTAAGTTTTGGAGAGAGGACTTGACCAATTAAGAATTAAGGAGGAGAGTGAAAGTATTTCAAGGATAAGCATAATGGAGTGATTTGTCCAGGGACACTGTTTGCTTCTAAGATTCAGAGCCAGAAACCCTTTCCCTCAAAATATCAATTGTAGTTTACTTAATACTTTTAAGTGTTCCTCATCCTTTATTGTACGTGTGTGTATGATTGCATTCTCTATAGTGATTTAGTCAGGTTTGCAAATAATTCTCCTAATTCTGCTTTTTCCACTTTTCATTATTGTGTATTGACATTTTTGTGTATTCTTCCTATTTGGCATTCTTTATGATTTAATAGTGTTTCCTGTCATTAATATATTACTGTCTGTTTAGCCAGGCTCCAAATGTTGAACATTAAGATTTTTTACTCCAAGCCTAGAGTTCTATCCACTAAATGTCATCTCCATTTTCTCATAAATAAAATGGGGATAAGAATACCAACCCTACTTACTTCACAAGGTTATTGTGAAGATTAAATAAATAGTGTCAAAAATTTTTGTATCCTCGAAAAGTCATGCAAACATATGCTGTTAATAGCATCATATAAGAAGGTAGATCAAGGAATGGACCGAGACTCAAAGTCCTCATTGCCTGTTTCTGCTCTGTCCCTATTTCCACAAAAATCTTCCATGGGGGTCCTGATAAGACCACAGGTGGTTCCTCTGTATGGACTTGTCACCTTGAGTGGAAAGATGCGGAGTCAGCAGACCTGGGAACATAGTCAGGATCTGCTTCTGACTACCAGCATGACCTTGGACAAGTCACTTCTCTCTGGGCCACATTTTCTTTAGTTGTAAAATGAGGATGTTGGAGTAGATCAGGAGTTGGGAATCTGCTTCCTCAAGGCCACACATGGCCCTCTACGTCCTTAAGAGCAGCCCTTTGACTGAATCCAAACTTCGTAGAACAAATTCCCTTAATAAAAGCATTTGTTCTGTAAAACTTGGACTCAGTCAAAAGGTTATATCCAGGGCCCTAGAAGGTCACATGTGGCCTCAAGGCTGCAGGTTCCCCAACCCTGGATTAGACCACTATTGACCCTTCTAGTTTTACATCTACAATCCTAAGGTCTAGGCAGTGATGATATCAAAGAAATAGGAAGGTCATGTTGAATACTCCTTCTAATCAATGATCAACATAACTCTTTCCTATTTGTTTTTGCATATGTTTCATCTGTCTCTGCTACTATCACAAGTTCACCACTTCCCCCTTAGCACCCTTGCCACCCAACCACATACAGACTTCTCCTCTCTCCCTCCGCCCTCTTCTTTCCTCCATGATGAAATTGCACTGAGGGGGAGAAACTCACTTCTTGACACCAGCCTTACATTTTGTGGGCTCACTTTTGAGTTTCCAACTACCACCATGACATCAGCTCTACGCTGGAATTTCCACTATTTTTATGTTGCATCCATCTTTCTGGGTATTCCCAGAAACCCCTATAAAGAGAGAGTCCAAACATGAGACAGAGACACAGACCTCCAGAGTCTCTTAGTTCGTGCTCTGCCCCTCCAACATCTCTCCTCTCAGGATCATGAAGGTCTCTGTGGCTGCCCTCTCTATCCTCGTGGTCATGGCCTTCAGCTCTCTGGCATCCTCTGCTCCAAGTAAGTGAGCTTTCTTCTGCCTTCTGTGGCTGTACCCAGGTCCTCTTGTCATAAACTGGATAGAACCCTGACAGGAGATAAATGTAGTCTGATCATAGGGATCTGAAGAAGGTGGGGAGGGGAAGGACTGAAAGGGAGGGGCAGGAGCAGGTAGGATTTTTATGCCTTTGGACTTGAAACTATTAAAATGCCCTTGACAGTTTCTGCTGCTTAGCATATAAGATCAAGATAGGAGCAGAGGCACTGGACTGAGTACTAGTCCATCTAGGTTCTAGTTCTGGCTCTGGCACTAGATACCTTGTGACAAGCGCCTTCCTCTCTAAAAGGCAAGATCTGGAAAGGCTGATCCCTGACATCCTATCCTCCTCTAACTCTTTGTGTTTTCTCTGTGGATCCACTCTGGGAATGGAAACAGCAGGCCTGATCCTCTTCCATGCACAGAGAATCATGTCTGGTATTTGAGGGGAGACATGAGAAATGACATCCTGAGTGTGCCTGACGGAAAGCGTGTGCCTGAGTAATGTCAGCACTGAAAGAATGTGTAGTGTGAACGTGTGACTGTCCTAATTTCAGGCATCTCTTTCCTTTACAGTGGGCTCCAACACTCCCACCTCCTGCTGTTTTTCCTATGTCAGTCAACAGATCCCCAGAAAATTTGTGACAGACTATTATGAGACCAGCAGCCTGTGTTCCCAGTCAGCTGTGGTGTGAGTATCTACCTAATGAGAATCCTCAGAGGAAACAGGGTGAGATGATAGAGAAAACGAAGACATTTGGCCATCAGGCAGCTCAGGTGAAACTGTAGATAAAAGATAGTGGTAGCCCATGTGGTCCCATGCCCAGGTCTGGTTCTCCAGGTAGCAAGATGGGAGTAACTCCCTCCAGTGGGGAGGGATAAATGGAAGCTACAGGAATTTGAGGCCAAGAAGGAGGCTGAGATAATCTCTCCTGGGGTTGTCTCTAGAAAGAGACAGATGGATACAATGGACCTGATAGAGTTTTCAGAAGGTGGGAGAGTGGTTCCTTAATGCCTTCCAGAAATCTACAGGAAGTTGGCAAGAGGGTAACAGAGAGACCTTCCCTTCATCTCTAGCTGAAAAGATTCTTGGTCTCTCATCTCCTCTCCCTTCACTCTACAGGTTCAAGACCAAAAAGGGACGGCAGATGTGTGCCAACCCCAGTGATGACTGGGTTCAGAAGTACATGGCTGACCCGGAGCTAAACTGAGGGCCTCACAGGCCTAGGACAATGGACCTTAAAGGGAAATGGGCCAAGCTAAGGAATTCCACATTCAGAAGCAATCTCCCCAGACCCCAGCCTTCCTGAGATGTTTTTTATCAGTGAAATTTAATTTATGTAAATTATTGGGTGGCAGCTTTGGATATTTATTGGTACTATTTGCACTTTTGGAGGACACCTGTTCCCCATGGAGACCTCTGTTAGCAGCCAAACCTCAGTTCCTTTGAATCCTGGGGTCATCTGCTAGATTCCATGAACATCTGTTGGACAAAGATTTCAGAATAAAACTTTTTCAAGTCATATATTTTCTGTGTGATTTTGTTTTTTTCAGGAGAAATAGGATTGCTAAGGTGGAGTTCCTCTATCATCATACCAGATGGGAGAGGATTACTCAGACAGTATTTGTTCTGAAAGAAAAAAAAAATTGGTGGTTGAAGTATATGACAATCTCAATTTGGCTCAGCACCTTGAGTGGCCCCCAAATATCTAATCTGCACCAAGAGGCATAGCTTCCAGGAATAAGGATGGCCTAATCCCACCATCTTCTGGCCTGGAGTACTATGTTCATTTCTGAGCACCACAGTTTAAGAAGGATATTGGGAAGCTGGATAGTGTCCAGGGGAGGGCAATCAGGAAGGAGAAGGTCCTAGAGTCCCTGTCATGCAAGAAGGAGTTTAAGGATGGTTAGTAAAGAGAGGAACAGATTCACGGAGGTCATTATACTTGTATTCAAGCATCTGAAGCGCTATCTGAGGAAAAGGGGTCACACTTGTACTGTTTATGCCCATCATTAACAATGGGTAGAAGTGACAAACAGTAAATAGAGGCTCAATAATAGGAAAAACTTCCTAATAATTAGAGCTGTCCAAAACTGGAACCAGTTGCCTCCAATAGCAGTTGGTTCCTCTCTTTGGAGGTTATTAAACAGAGGCTGGATGACCACCTATAGAAGAAGTTCTAGGAGGGGTTTCTTTCAAGTATATCTTGGATTAGATAGTTCCTGCGGTCCCTTCCAGGTCTCAAATTCTATGAGTCCGTGATCTTGTCAGTGAACAGTCAGGAAATAGTGTATATGTAAGAGATAGGCTGAAGACACTATGGAAATTCATAGTAGGAAAGGGAAAGAGAATGAGGAAAAAGGCTATCAAAATGGGATATTATTTCACATGATGTGACATGAGGAAAAACATGCTGCCTTTGGAGTCAGAATAACTAGGTTCAAATCCTGTCTTCACTATCTGAGTGATCATGGACAGCTTAGCTAAGCTGGGCTTCTACGTGGATTCAGCCTATTTAGCATTAACCTCACAACTGTTTGTTTTAATGTTGGAGAAATCTATGCTAAATTGACTAATTTTGATTTGGAATCAGCAGGTATGAATTCTGACACTTATTAGCTTTCAAATGAAATTTTATAAAGACATAGATTTTCATATACTTGCATATATCTTTTTTTATAAGGGTGGGCTGTTGATTGAGCAAAAAATATCAAGTGTCCCCACTTCTCTTAAAGTAAGTTATAGGATGCAAGCAAGCAAGCAATCCAACACTTTGGGTTCAATGAGAAAGTACTTGGATGGACAGATGGAAAAAGTGTTTAGATTGGCTGGGGAAACATATTCATGTCTTGTGATCCTTCTATCCAATAGAAGCTCAGAGGGGGAAGTAGAAGTGAGGAGAGAGACAGAGAGACAGAGAGATAGAGACAGAGAGAGATAGAGATAGAGAGGTAGAGAGACAGGGAGAGACAGAGGTGGGGAGGGAAGGAGGGAGGACAGAGAGAGAGAGAGAGAGAGAGAGAGAGAGAGAGAGAGAGAGAGGAAAAGAGACAGAAAGACACAGACAGAAACAGAGACAGAGAGCTAGAGGGAGTTAGACAGACAGACTGATCCAAAGAAACAGAGAGAGAGAAAAGAATGTTGAAGACTATGAAATATCAGATGGTTTTATATGTGATTTTAGAAGCAACAGACCTTCTTGAACTGCTCCAAATAGTCTATTAAGTATATGTTAAACTTATCACAATAGTAAAGAAATTCCCTTGCTTATCTGGATACCCTTTTGAACTTTCTTCTTTTTTCTTTCTTCTATCTTCTATGTATTTAATTTTTTTTTACATTGATGCTCTTTTTCTTTTTTGCTTCACTATCACTACCTACCAATCTCCATTCTTTGCCCCAAAAGAAACCTTCCCAGTGTAACAAATAAGTATCATCAAACAAAACAAATAAAAACATCAACCATGGCTGAAAGTGTTTGCCCCTTTCCAGTCCTCTGTAGTCTACATCCTCTCTGGCAAAGGTAGGAAGCAAGTTTGTCATCATTCTTTTGAATAGCATGACTAGTCTTCCCACTGATCAGCATTCTGAATTATTTCAAAATTGCTTCCTTCCACATTATTGCTGTTACTGTCTAAATTCTTCTCCTGTCTTCTTTTCACTTAACTCTGAGACAGAAGCAGACAGAAAGGACAGCATAGACTTTGATAAACTCAAGGACATCGCCTATTAGGGTAAGGATTCTCTTCAATCAAACTATTGGGAAAACCAGGAAAATCTGGAAAAAAATAGATTTAGACCGAGATCTCACACTATATACTTCAAGATACAATTTCCTCATGAATAAAATGAGGAGGACTATAATAACCCTGCCTACCTCATAAACCAAGAAGATTCACCATGCTCAATTGAACTCCTTAAGATGAAATGAGGTGGGGCAGCTAGGTGGTACAATGGTTAGAGAGTTAGCCCTGGGGTCAGGAAGTCCTGCTTTCAAATCCAGCCTCAGCCTCTTCCTAGCTGTGTGACCCTGGGCAAGTCTCTTAATCCCACTTGCCTCTTAAAAAAAGATAAAATAATGTCAAAGTTCTCTGTGACTTTAAAATGTTATACAAATGCGTGCTACTAATATCATCATATAAGAAGATAGATAGATCAATAGGCCAGGACCTCAGAGTCCTCATTCCCTATTTCTGCTTATGACCACCATTTGCAACTAACTCTTTCACAGTTCCCTTGGTAAAACCTGGAATTGGTAAATTTAAAGTATATGTATATTCTATCACATAATGTCTGGGTATGTGTTGGCTGACATAGGAGAAGCAGCAGGTGGTGGGAGGACAGCTATCTACCTCTGTGTACATACATACATACACATATACATATATATACACACACATATATGTATCATGTCTCAATCAATCAATCATATACTGGCCTGAGACTGGATGCTCAATGTCTTTGAACTGGAATGACCTTACACATGAATCATGTTAGGATAGGTCAAGGAAACTTAGCCTCAGCCCAGGGATCATCTATGAATTATCAAGTGAGTTGAGGACAGAGACATTCCAGAAATTGGGGCAAATGTGGTTTTCCAGCACACCCCTGCTATGGAGGGGGCAATGCCTAAGGAGAGATGTTGGCTTCAGCCTTGGCCAGGTCTTCTTACTGCTCCTACCCCACATACCCAATTTGGCTGGGCGAATACCATGCTTGCATGTACTGGTGGGTTACACCATGTATTAGTGTAATGGTTCTGGAAGATTTTGGCCTTTCTATCTTTCCATTATTTCCTATCAAGCCCTGTCACTGTCTACATCACAAGCCAAGAAGGTTCATTATGCTTAATTGAACTCCATAAACACTCCATGAATGGGAGAAAAGAACTTTCCAGCAACCAGAAAATGTGTTTTTCACCTTTATCACAAATAAAACTCTCAATCGCCAAGTTTTCTAATCATGTCCACACTCTCTGAGCTTCAGCCGTCTTTCCCCTGGACTCTGGATGTCCTTGTGGGAGTGTATGTCATAGACTTTTTTTTGGTACAAGGATGTCTTGTACCAACTGTTTTTATGGAACCACTTCTTTGTAAAATTTCCTTAAATCTGGATGATTCAATTGATTCTCAACTGCTAATCTTAGAAGAAACCAACTAGTGGGAGCTCCAGTTTATGGAATTAGAGAATTTCTGAACCCTCAGAAGTAGCTGTAGTAAGCAAAGGGAGGTGGGAATATATGTAGCCAAGTTCTGGGGACTCAATTTATCAGTGGGATTGAGTGTTGGGATAAAGATCCATAGGGCTTACATAGGCTTTAGTAGATGAGATGTTTGGGCTAGGTGATCACTGAGGTCCCTTCTAGGTCTAAATCTACAATTTTGTGATCTAGGTAGGGAAAGCCATATGTCAGTATGGTGCTCATTCAGAATACTGCCTTCAAATTGATGGTTAACATTATTATCCATTCTATTTGTCTTTGCTTCTCTCTGCTACCCTCTCAAGTTCACCACTTCCCCCCTGAGCACCATTCTCCCCTCCACACACCCTTCTTTCTCCATCCCTTCTCCCCTTACACTCCCCCCTCCACATGATAAAACTGCACTGAGGAGGAAAACTTTAGCTAACTTTGATGACTTTGATACTGACTTTGCATTTCAGTTTCCAAACTTTCACCATGACATCAACTTTTTCTTTGAAATTCCACTCATTTTTGGTTGATTCCATCTTTTCACATACTCCTAGAAACCCCTATAAAAGAGGGCCCAAACACGAGACAGACACATAGACCTCCAGAGACTCCTAACTTGTGCTCGGCTCCTCCAAGCCTTCTCTCCTCTCAGGATCATGAAGGTTTCTGTGGCTGTCCTCTCCATCCTCATGGTCATGGCCTTCAGATCTCCAGCAAACTCTATATATGTAAGTGAGCTTCTTCCAGCCCTCTGTGACTGTGCCCAGGCTCTGGTCATGAGCTGGACAGAACCCTGGCCAGGGACAAGCCTGGTATGATCATAGGGATCTGATGAGGGTGTGGAGGGGGAGGACTGGAAAGGAGAATGTAGGAACAGGGAGGCTTTCTATGCACTTTGGACTTGAAAGCATTAACATGCCCTTGACAGTCTATGCTGGTTAACATGTAAGTTCAAGGCAGGAGAAGAGAGCAGAAAGGACACTAGTCTGGGTTCTAGTCCAATCAAATTCTAGTTCTGGCTCTGACACTAAATACCCATGGGATCTCCAGCAGGTGGATTCCTCTCTAAAAGATAGGAATAAGATGTGTAGATCTCTGATATTCCCTCTAGGTCTCATATTTCAGGTTTTCCCCATGAGGAAGAGAATAGCTGGTCTGACCCTCCTCCAGGCACAATGAGAATCACACCTGGTACTAGAAAGAACCAGGGTAGGGAGACATGAGGAATCCTATCTCCAGTATGCCTGATGGAAAGCATGTTCCTGAGATAATGTCAGCACTGAAAGAATGTATAGTGTGAATGTGTGACTGTCCTAATTTCAGGTGTCTCTTT